CTACTACTACTACTACTACTACTACTACTACTACTACTACTACTACTACTACTACTACTACTACTACGACTACTACTACGACTACGACTACGACTACGACTACGACTACGACTACGACTACGACTACGACTACGACTACGACTACGACTACGACTACGACTACGACTACGACTACGACTACTACTACTACTACTACTACTACTACTACTACTACTACTACTACGACTATTCTACGACTATTCTATGACTACTGCTACTACTGCTACTACTGCTACTACTACAAACAAGAATAATCACAATAATACTAGTACTGATAATTTTAGGCAGTTGGGAGGTTCCCTGGTTACTTTTCCTGGAACCTGTGCGGCCTCCTTAAGGGTAATGATAATTTTTCTCGGCTCTTGGATGGACGACACACAACTACGTTGAATATGCGCGAGGTCGTCCGGCCACTGCTCACTTCCCCGGTCGACAGGGGTTTAACTCGAACCAGGAAATAAAACACTGCCCCCCCTAACCCCCCCCCACCCAGGGGCCACGCCACATGCGCCGACCAGGATGCCCCCCCCCCTTCGGGAGCCCAAAAACGTACAACAACCTAAGGAGCATCTATGAATTGGGCCCCTGGGGCCTCTTGGGGTTTCAAGAGTGCGTCAAAGACGGCTCAAGCTGGCCTCAACACGGGCCAAGATGGCCCCAAGAGGACCCAAAAAGCCCCCAAGAAGGCCCTAGAGGGCCCCAAGAGGATCCCCAAGTGCGCCTCCAGAGGCCAAAATCACTGTTTTTCCTTGTGGTGTTCAATGATTGTAAGCCCCAGGCCCCACAACGTCTTGACTGCACGTGCTTCGGACGTGCACCCCGCGAAGCGAGAGGAATTGTCGATTTTCTGTGGGTTCTTCACATGCTTATATGAGGAGTTCTCGACTTTTCGAGCTTCCAGCGCTACAAGACGACCCAAGAGGCCCCCAAGACCGCCCAAAGACAGCCCAAGAGGCCCCAAGAGGGCCTCCAGACGTCCCAAGAGAGCACCAAGATGGCCCCAGAGGCTCCCAGGACGACCCAAGAGGGCCCAAAAACAGCCCCAAGAGGGAACCAAGACGGGGAGCACGAACGGAAACTCCGAGTCTTCCGCCCCAAGATGCTCCCAGGCTGTCCCTGGGAGGCGCCAAGCAGCTTCCAAGAGGCCCGCAAGAGGTCTTCAAGACACCCCAAGAGGCCCCAGAACGGCTCCCAAGGGACCTCCAAACGGCCCCCAGGAGGCCCCCGAGAGGCCCCTCGCTACACGCCAACGGAATTCCCTAGAGGACTATGGCCCACAACCCAGGCACGGTGGCGGGATGGGCCGACGGCCACTCGATGCACGGGGGCGAAGGAAACGTGCGCCCTTCGTGCACCCTTTGGGGCCCGCGGTGGGAGTCTAGGGGTCAGTCAGGGGACCTCTGGGGCCGCTCGCTGAAGGAGGGGGAGAAGGAGGAGGAGGACGGATGACTCCCGGGGACTCCGAGGATCGAGGGCCGAAGGAGTGACGTCAGAGATTCCCTTGAGAGGGTGCGGAAGGGGCAGGTGCGAGGATGCGAGCATCGGGTCGGGCGAAAGGGGGGGATAGCAAAGGGGGGGTTTGAGAATCAGGTCGCGTAGCTGATTTTCCCGGCGCCTCCCGGCGCCGGAGGCGGCTATGTATCGAGGAATGGGCCCCTCGGTGAGGCCGAAACCAGCTGCATGCAGCAAATTTTGTAACCCCCCCCTTTCCCAATCCCCCCCTTTCGCCCGGCCCGAGAGCATGGGGGGGCGGCAGCGCCTGGGGGCGCGAACGGCCGGCCGCTCTCTCCTCCAATCCTCGACCCCCCCCCGCGCTGACCTCCCCGTCCGCCCTGCGCACTCCGCCCCACCCCTCGGGTTACCGGCGCGGGAGACGTCTGCCCCTCCCTCCTCCTCCCTCCTCCCTCCTCCCTCCTCCCCCTCCCTCCTCCTCCCTCCTCTCCTCCTCCTCCTCCTCCTCCTCCTCCTCCTCCTCTCCTCCTCCTCCTCCTCCTCCTCCTCCTCCTCCTCCTCCTCCTCCTCCTCCCCCGGGGCGGGCCCGAGGCCATCCCCAAGATGCCGCGAGGACGACCCAAGAGAGGGCCGCGGGACCGCGGGAGAGCCCCCAGAGTCTCCCAAGAGGCGACCCCAAGAGGACCCTCCACGCGCAGGATCCCGAGCACCAGCAGGCACCTGACGAGGAGCAGCGAGCACAGTCGGGGCCTTGGCCTAAGGAACCCAAAATAAGGAACGAGGCTCCTTTTTTCCATAACTTAACCTTCGATTTCCTGCCGGAAACCTAAGGGAAGCCTGAGGCAAGCTGCGAAACACTTAAGGAACGCGGAGCCCCTCCCCAACGAAAAGGGTTCCTTCTTCAGGGCCCCGACTGTAGCCTCCACCTGTGTGCAGCGGAGGCGAGGGCCACGCTGGAACATTGCCGAAGATCAGATCCAAGCAAGCCCTGCAAATCTAAGCCAGCAGCAAAAGAAGAAATGGCACCCTCCGATGATGGGTGTCTCCTCGCGGCAAGGACTCTGGCTGCAAGGAGGGTGGGGAGGAGAACGGCGGCGAGTCGGCGAGTCGGAGCAGTAAGAGAAGACAGAGCGTCGGCAAGCAGAGAGGACGATAAGGAGGAGTAGCATGAGAAGGACAGGTAAGGGACTGAATGTAGTTCCCACCGCGAATGACTTTCGGACACGGCCGCGCCGCCATGACTCAATGCAGAAGGGGGAGGAGGAAGAGGATGAAGATGAAGCCTCCAGCTTTTGCAACTTCGCGTCGCGCTCCGCCATGGAACGAGGTCGCGGGGGCACATCGCATCCATGCTGATGATATGGCCATCCCTGCTGAGGAGGATCGCCAGGACGACCATTCCCACCCCAAGGCGACGCACAGCCAACGCGTGAGGAAGCTGGCCTTGTCTGAACTGTCCACGGTCCGTCGTGCAGCAACTGGATCTGTTGGCGCCTGCGGGCTGCCGCTGTGGCGATAGATACGTCTGCGTGTGGAGGAACAAATAACCGGCATAACCACAATGTATATGAGGTCCGCGTGGATGGTTACTCCAACTTTTATAATAAAGGGGGGGGGTCACAAACCTCCCAGACGAGCCATTTCAGACCACCCCGTCTGGGGCGACCTCCATCAAAAAGTAGCCCCCCCCCCCAGGACGTGCCAAGACGAGACGATCCAGACCCCCCCAAGAAGGCAACCTCGACGAACAAAACGACAGACCCCCCCCCAGGACCTCACCGAAGCCAGACCCCGCGCCCAAAATGGCAGAACCCCCCCCCCGTTGTAACTGCGGGACGACGGTCGTAACAACTGTCGCAGGATCGGCGCTGGACTCCCCTCCCTGGTGCGCGGAGCCTGCCATGGGGCGGCGCAGAAGGCGCCGCCCGAAGGCCCACTGCCGATCCAAGAACTCCGCGCGGAGCTCTGAGAAACCGTGCTTGCGCAACTTGCTGCTCTTCGAGCAGGGCCCCACGCGTGCTCTGCACGGGCTGCGACCAGGGACCACCGCGAGGACGGGGCCAAGGCCCTCACCGAAGCGCGCCAACCGACGGTGCCGCCGTTCACCCGGCAGGGCGGCGTTTCCAAAGCTCCGGAGTTGGGCGACCCCTCCCGAGGAGTGAGGGCGTGCCCACTGGGCATCGGTGGCTGCCACGTCCACGATGGCCTCGGCGTCGCAGGCGGCGTTCACCGTCCTTTGGCTTGCAGAGCCGCGACCGCGGCCCTGGTGCAGGGCGGCCAACGTGGCAGGGCATGCTGCGGACCCCCGGATGACCGCGCAGGAGAGCCAGAGCCAGCTGTGCGTGGCTTCGCCAGGCACTTGCCTGGCCGCTCCCGCGATCCAGGACTGCGCTGCGCGCTGCGGCCGGCAGCAGGTCGTCACCTCGTCGCACCAGGTGACTGGAGGCCCCTCCCCTCCGCCCTCTTGGCCTAGACGACCAGGCGCCGGCGCTCAGCGAGCACTCAAGAGCGGCTGGCTCGCCGAGGACCAGGACGACCGTGAGCAGGGCGCAGGCGGGGGATGCAGCTGCGCACCAGTGCCGCACCCAGGCTGCGACCCGTCCATGTGGATGCCGAGCCGAGCGAGCCCCTCCCAAGCCCGTGGCCCACCCAGGGGGAGAGGGCGCGATCAGGAGAACGAGAGGGGAAATGGAGAGGGAAGGGGGTGGGAAGAAGGGGGAGAGGGAGGAGGAGGAGGAGGAGGACGAGGAGGAGGGAAGATGCGCAGGAGGAGGAGAAGGAACAGCAGCAGCGGGAAGGGACACCCGCGGGCCCGCGGGCTCGCGCCAGACTCCAAGCGAAGGCGCTTGAGCCGGGGACCATCATCGTGGAGACGACGGATCCACTGTGACGCTCCACCCCAGCCTCCGGCGGTGCGATGGTCACCTGGCTCTCCAATTGAAGTTCCCCGCCCAGTTCCCGTGGCCGCCTCCCCCAGCTGGTTGTGCTGGCGGCGATGGAGGCCCTTCCCCATCCTCCGTTGGTGGCTTCCAGGCCCGGCCAGGCCATGTCTCAGGTCTGCACGCCTGTTTCAGACAAGCCTTCTTGGTCGCGGCTATTGTCGTGATCACCCCGTTGCATAGGAGGGCACAGGACGATGTCTCCCACTCCCTCATCCACCGGGAGCAATAGCAAGACGAACATGCATCCAAGCGCCTGCCCCCCAAAACTACCACCCAGGAGAACAAGAGAAGGCGGGTAGAGGGGAACGGAAGGCCGGGGCGAGGAGGAGAACGGGGCGTGAACCGCTCAAGGAAGGGAGGGCTCCGCATTCATTGAATTACTCCTGATCGATACGCTGGCGTGATCCTCCTTCGTCTCACCTCTCTCCTCCCCATGTCTCTTCCTTGGTCCTTCATCTCTCTTCCCTCCACATCCTCCTGCTTCCCTGCCCCGCCTTCTTCCATTCCCCTCCCCCTTCCCGTCTCCCCCATCGTCGTCGCTCCCCCTCTTCCCGTCGCCTCCCCCTTTATCAGTAAACTGCCTTTCACCCTCATCCTTACTCCCTCACCTCCTCTCCTCCCTCCAAACATTTCCGCCACCTCATCCCCCTGCCTATTCCTGCTCCTGCTCCCTCGTGCTCCGGTTCGTGCTCCTCCTGCTGCCGCTGCCCTGCCATCATCACGATCGTCTGTTCCCCAGCGGGAGGAGGGCAACGCTGCTGCAATCGTGACGCATGAGCCTCCGATGTGCGGGCTCCGTGCCTGAGCCGTCCACGAAAAGGAGAAGGAGAAGGAGGAGGAGGAGGAGGAGGAGGAGGAGGGAGGAGGGAGGAGGAAGGAGGGAGGAGGGAGGAGGGAGGAGGAGGGAGGAGGAGGGAGGAGGGAGGAGGGAGGAGGGAGGAGGGAGGAGGAGGAGGAGGAGGAGGAGGAGGAGGAGGAGGAGGAGGAGGAGGACTTTCCTTAGCAGGACTCGCGGGGCCCGAACTGACCCCACGGCGACCGCGGATCCCAACCTCAGAACAAATGCCGGCCAGGTGCCTTGCTCCACACAAAAAAGTGCCTGGCGGAAGACAAACAAAAGGCCGAGGACGGGACAGCGGCGCTGCGAAGCACTCCTCGAGCAGGGGCGACAACTGCACAGGCGATGGCAGAGGATCGGGTCGGGCGAAAGGGGGGGATAGCAAAGGGGGGGTGAGAATCAGCTCACGGAGCTGCTTTTCCCGGCGCCTCCCGGCGCCGGAGGCGGCCATGCATCGAGGAATGGGCCCCTCGGCGAGGCCGAAACCAGCTGCATGCAGCAAATTTCGTACCCCCCCCCTTTTCCCAATCCCCCCCTTTCGTCCGGCCCGAGAGGAGAGAGAGGACGGGAGGCGGGAGGCGCTAGGGGAGGCGGCAGGGGAGGCAAGGAGAGGAGGCAGGGGTGGAAAGGGGGGCAGGACGGCGGGCATCGGGGGGCTTGGGGGGGAGGGGGGGGGGAGAGGGGAAGGGAGGGGAGGGGGAGGGATGGGCGCAGGGAGGGGAAGGGAGGGGAGGGGAGGGAAGGAAGGGAAGGGAGGGGAGGGAGGGGGGGGAGGGGGGGAAGGGAGGGGAGGGAGGGCCCAGGGAGGGAAGGGAGGGGAGGGGAGGGACGGGCGCGGGACTCTGGGGGGGGGGGAGCGGGCAGTCCTCGAGCAAGGGCGTGAATACAATACAGGCGAGGCCGTCGGCGGAGAGCCTGGCGGCCCCGGGGCGGCCCCCGTCCCGCCACGCCGCGGCTCGCGGCTCGTCGTGCCGCCCCCCTCGTTCCCGTCCTCTCCCCTTCCCCCCCCCCCCCTCTCCTCTCCTCCCTCCCCTCTCCCCCTCCTCTCCTCCTCCTCCCCTCCCCCCTCTACAATTACTCAATATGAGTACTACTCTCCCTCTTCCCCCGATGGCGGCCTGAAAGTAGCCGACCCCCCCCCCGCGTATTGTTTTTTTTTTACACACACACAGGATTCCCGGGAATTGGGTTTTCGCCTGCGTTTTTTTCAAAATGCTGCTCTCGCTGAGGCGCCGGCCTCATTTCTGCTCCCGAATCGTTCCGAATCGTGCTCCCGCTGCAGCGTGGGCCTCATTTTCGGATCGGTGTTTGGCCTCCGTCGTTCAGGATGGCGTTCTCGCCCCAGCGCGGGCCTCTTTCTCGCGCGCCCATCCGCCCGCCACCACCACCGCCACCCCACCACCACCACCACCACCACCACCACCACCACCACCACGCACCACCACACACGCACGCACGCACGCACGCACGCACGCACACGCACGCACGCACGCACGCACGCACGCACGCACCACCACCACCCACTACGCACGCGCGCGCGGAGCCACAGGTCCGCTACGACACGCGTCCGCGGATAGGGATGGGAGGCCATGGTAAGGGATGGGAGGGAGGGGTGGGACGTCAGATATGACGCGAGCGCACCTAGCTTGCCTCCCTCCCCTCTCCCCCCCCCCCTCCCTCCCCCTTGCCCTCCCCTTCCGACACCGCGAACTCCCCGAACCTTGGCCACCGAGCGAGCGCCAAGCACGATCACCGAGGAGCAAACGCGCACACCAAGACGCGCGTCGAGAAACCGGACGCGTCCATTTGCCCTGGATCGGGAGACTCTTGCGCCCCCAAGTCGCACATGAGCAGGGTGCCACGGGAACGTCCAAGGCGGGGCATATGTGCCTACGAAGCTTGAACCCTTCAGGTGGGACTTGGACTCAGAGTTGAGAAATCCAGAGGATCTCAGCCGAACCCCCGTCTCTCGTCGTCCGCGCCATGGGTGTGTATAAACAGCTGTGCACAAAAACTCTGGATCAGTGGCAAAGCGGCGTTCTGGTAACTCATGGACGTTTCGATACACTAACGCAACGATGCTGGGCTATACGCATGGATCCCGCCCCTCCCGACCATGTGCTCACCTGCCTCCTACAGTCGAATTCGATCGCAAGGATGATCGACTTCCCAAGGTTACCCTTGCATCCTTGCCTCTTCGGTCATCGTCGATCCATTCTGAACTACTTTCGATGGCCAGCCCCACGCGAAAAGCTTCGGCATAGGCGTCCAAGGCACTTGCGTCCTTATCGCGCATCCTTACCATCAGTTCTGACTGTAGCTTGGTCGAAGACCAGGCGATCCACCAGGCCTCTGAGCGCATCTGGCCTTAACGAGCCAACTATTACCAGTCAAAAACCCTAATAAGGACGCGCGGTAAGGACGCAAGACCCTTGGAAGCCGAAGTTGGGTTTTTGGGGCGGCGGACGACGAACACCCCAAGTGTACCCTGACAAGCGGGCAAGCGAAGGAGGCCAAGGACGAGCCGCAAGAGCAGGGAAGAGCAAGGACGCAAGGGTACCCTGAGCAACGTCGCGCGTACTTATTATGGTTTTTGACTGTATACTGGAAAGGGGTTGGCCGTCGGCGATCCCTCGAGACACACATCTTCTGGGTCTGGGATCTCAAGGGGTGCGAGACGTCAGAGGGTGCGTTTGGATTCCTCCTCCTCCTCCTTGCCCTCCTCTTCCTTGCCCTCCTCCTCCTCCTTCTCCTCCTCCTCCTCCTCCTCCTGCTCCTCGAGGGGAGCGCGAGGCGCCAGAGGGTGCGCTTGGGCCCCGAACGACTCCAAGGTGGCCCTGAATGCATGCCAGCACGGCGCAAAAAGGTCCCCGTTCGGCTTCGGACCCCCGCGATTGCAAGATGTTTTCATTCTCCACATCCTGCACCCCTGCTCTCCTCATCACTCCTCATGGAAAGTGAGGAGGATAGGGGGCCACATGCGAACCCTACCCCTATACCCCACGATTTCTAAGGGGGAGGGTGGGGTTCACTTCGCTCGGGAGCTCTCGAGCGAAGTAAACCCCACCCTCCCCCTCAGAAGTCGTAGGGGGGTAGGGGTAGGGTTCGCATGTGGCCCCCTAGAGGAGGAAGAGGAGGACGAGGAGGAGGAGGAGGAGGAGGAGGAGGAGGAGGAGGGGGAAGAGGAGGGGGAAGAGGAGCAAGGGAAGGAATGCGAGGATTGGGACGGATCACGGAGGAGTCAAAAAAACGCTGGTGGCAGACAATCCAAAAACATGTTCACACAACAAACAAAACGGCAGCAACTCCTATTCAAGGGCCCCGTATGTTGCGTGGACTTGTGGTCGGATGGTGTTCCCAGATGTTTGCCGCTAACGCTTTGGAAGGTGCGCGTATGTGTATGACAGCGTTCCCAAAAGTGTGGCTTTCCTCCTCGTCGTCGGGCCTGGTCCACCTGTTCGTCCTCATCCTCCCCTTCCTCGCCTTCCCCGTACACAGCCCGCCTCCCTCCCTAACCTCTCGCCCCCCCGTCTCCACGCTTCTCTCCCTCTCCACATCTCCGCTGTCTGCTGCGATGGGGGAGGCCCCCCTGAAAGAACGTCCACGCGATCTACGATCCTCCACGCCATTGCTGAACCGTGATGCGAATGATGTGAAAACTGTAACCAGGATTCCTTAGGTAACGGTTCCGTTAAGCAGGATCCCTGCAGTATGAGTTCCTTTAGCGCGCATTCCTGTAGTGAGAACTTCTTCAGCAAGGGCATCTGGAACGATCACTAATGATAATTTGAATAGGGGGCCCCTGAGTAATGAATCCTTGAATAAAGGTTCCTTCGGTACGGGGTCCTCTATGACTTCATCATACATGACACATTCTTTGCCGAAAGACTACGCCAATACGGAGTCCGGTGCACATACTCATTCATAGAACACGCTTACAAAACGAGACAGTCCGTAACACATGTTATTTTTATTTCGATTCCTTGTAGCAAGGGGTTCCTTCACATTGACTCCTGAATCATGATCCCTCACGTTAGGACCCTTCAGTAAGGATTCGCTGTCCGAGGGTTAACTTAGCAAGGGCTCCTTTCGCACGGCGTCCTCCAGGAAAGGATCCCGTGACCAAGGATTCCTGTAGCATTACTTCAGCAAGGGCTCCTCCTTACTCTTCCTTGAAGCCACGAGCCCACCCCACGGAGGCTGCCCAAACGCGCACCCCTTTTTTTCCAGAGCGGAAACACTGTCCTCTTCAGTACTGGGATGTGTGTCCGGGGATCGTTTTCAACGATATGGAGTCCTTTTTGAGTAAGGATTCTTTCAGTAAGGGTTATGGCGTAAGGAGTATATTAGCAGTTATCCCTTTAGAAAGGACTCCTTCGGTAATGCACATCTGATTGTGGATCCTTGATTGGGGGCGGCTTGAGCAAAACTTATATTAGCAAGTACCCATGTGGTAAGGACTCACTTCTCCTTGCTAACTCTTTTATATCCTTTCACTCAAGATTCGTTTTGGAAACTGTCCTCCAGTACGGGTTATGCGATGGATCCACCATTGCGGATTCCAGCACCTGCTGACATCGTAAAACCGACGACGCCCGAAGCCGAACCGAAACCGACGAAAAGCATGCCGAGTTGGATCGACACGGCTTTGCGTCCAACATACCTCCCAGATGCAGCGATATGCCACCAGCACAACCTAAGGTGCTTGTGGAGCCTCCCACGCATGCCCCGGAGCTCCGCAATGATGCTGATATGTTCGCTTCTCGCGTTTGATAAGCGTCTGGGCCTCAAGATGATGCCGAGATCGCCCACGAGAGCCTCAATATGCAGAGAAGGGCCCAAAGACGGCCACACGTGCCCCCAAACTGTGCCCCAGGATCGCCAAAAGAAAGCATGAAAATGCTGTGTCGTGCTCCGACCAGGTGGGCGTGGGCTAATCAGGGAACGCTGCTTCCCCCATATCACAGGTATGGGGTAGTTATCGCTAGTGCCACGCCACCGCTTCATCATTTCACTCCCGCCCCCCCCCCCGCTTCTCATCATCCGACACTGCCACGTTCAGAACCCAGACTCGCCCACACCCACACTAGCACATACTCTGGCCCACCTATACACGGACTCAATCACACCCAGGCTCACTCACGCTCAGAGCCAGCCGTATGTAATTTGTATTTAGCCGTACCTGCTCACGCTCTCTCTCTCTCTCTCTCGCTATATCTCTGTGCTTGTGCATATATGTATACATGTATACATACATATACGTATACATTCATGTGTATATATAAGGGGGCCGAACGGTCATTCATTGTCCCTGGGTGCGTGGCTCAATACGAAACTTGTGGTGAGAAGTATGTTTGTTGCGTTGTTGTTGTTGTTGTTGCTGCTATTGTTGTTGAACTCTCACTTCTGAAGAATAAGTATTGTTGATCCCCCCTCACCGGTGCATGCTGTTTTCCTCCATCAAAAAACGCCCATCGACGTTCGCACTTGGTGCTCAGACTGGGCCCCTGGCCCACCGGATTACAACAACAACAACAACGGCTCCCGCCTGAGACTTCCTCCAAATTTACTCAGGACCCCCGCTCCTGAGATTCCTGACAATTTACTCAGGATCGGTGCTCCCGCCTGTGAGTTCCTTGCAATGTAGTCAGGACACCCGCTCCCATCTGAAACTTCCTCACAAATTACTCAGGAACGGCGGTCCCGCTTGAGACTTCATCACGCTTGGATCAAGACTTCCACGCAATTCATTCTCAATTATATTCAGGAATTGCGTTCTCGCCTGTGACTTCCATGCAGTTTATTCAAAACCGCGCTTTCGACACTCAGGAAGCACGCTGCGCCAAGGACGCCGCTACAATTTACTAAATAATCGCGCTCTCGCCATATTCAGGCATCCCGCTTGAATGTCCCAC